GCTGCTCCCTGCCAGCCAAAAACAAGTAGCCAAATCCACTCCTTTCCCCATCCTTGCCACTGGAGATGGAAAGAGGACGCTGACATCCCAGCTGCCCACCCCTCACCAGCCTGGGGACCCCCGCCCAGCACCCCATCCCCAGGGGACGCAGCCACGGGGAGGGGTTAAACCCCCCATTGACCCATCTGCAAAATGTTTGTAAACCAAAAGCGTCGGCGCCAGCCCCACGCCGGGGGGGAACTTGACCTCCACCCCCTCCCCATGACGGCAGCCTCCCGGTCCCTGCTGTCGGGGGTAACCCTATACGGGGCTGCTGGCCCCTAATGCAGGACGTATAGATCTGTTGGGGCTGGGCGCCTCCTGCCCCCAACTAATGCAGCCGACGAGACTTCATTATGGGGGGTGTTTGTGTCCCCCGAGGTGTGCCCTTCGCCCTGCCCGCCTGGCTCTATGGCGGGGGGGGACACACAAGTTGGGGGACACCATTCGTGGTGGGGCAGAGACGCATCGTTGCAGGGGATGGGGTGGGATGTCCTGCTCCAGCAGCCCCCTGTACCCCAAAATAGGACCAGGGATCCCCTTTGGGACATTACCCACATCCAGGGGCTGTGACATATGGTGGTGGTCGGGGGGGGGTTTGTCTCCTCCGCTGCCTCTCGCCTGCAAAGGGAAACACAGAAAGGCGGGAAGCACCCGAGAAGATTTATACTTGTTTAATTAATGTCAAATGTAGTTTACAAACGGGAGTGACAAGTACCTCTTTGTATAATATACACCGACACACAATCATCGACACACCGGAATATCGCTTTGTGCAACTGGGATTCTTTGGGCAAAGATAGGTAACTCCGATATTTCAATTTTTTTTTGAGTTTTTTTTTTTTTTTAAATCATTTAAACTCATTACAGAAGAGGGGAAGCGGCAGATGCGTGTTACAAACCGGGATGCCTCTCTCCCCAGCCTTCCCCCTGCAGCCCCCCCCCTTGAAAACAGGGGATGGCCTTACAATTGAAAACAAAACAAAAAAAAAAACCAACCAAAAAGTAACCCCCAAAACAAAGAACCAATGACTAGTTACATATGGTTTTACACTTAACGTACATACAGCACACGGCTGGTCCACAAACCACCACCCGAAAACCTGGCTCCCTCCTGGGGTCTGTTTCCAAGAAAGGGCTGGGGTGGGGTGTCCTGCCCTCTCCCCCTTCCCGGCTGCCTCTCAACCCCCCCCTCCCCACTGCACCCTCCCCAAATCCACCTCGGACACCCCAGCACCCAGGCAGCGCAGCCCTGGATGGGTGGCTTTTTCAGTCCAGCTGTGACTTCCCCAAATTTTCCCCCTCTTTTACAAACCCCCACCCGAGTTGTGTGTTCCTGCCCTTCCCCTGCCCCGGTGCTGCTGGCCAGGGGGTGCCCAGCAGTGATGCCCACCGCTGCGGCCCCTTCCCCTGCCCGCAGCCTCCTCGGGGGGGCAGGACCCTGCTGGGGGTGCTTGGGCTTCCTCTGGACCCCAGCAGCTCCGCAGGGATGCGACCCCGAGCCGGGGAGCCTGCAGGTCTCTGGTCTCAAAAGGCCACCACGCTGCTATGAGCTTGGAGACCCGGGAAACTCTTAATTAGGAATTGTTGCCTTTTGCCAAGATGCTTATAAAATACAGCTCCCTTAATTTGGCTTTTGTTTTTTTTTTTTGGGGGGGGGGGGTGCAGTGGGATCTTTCTGGAATCACTCAGGAGGTGCCGAGGACAGCAGCTCCTCTCTGCTAAGCAGCATCAAGCTGAGAACAGGGAGGTGGTGATGGGTCCATCACCCCCGAGGCATCCTGCCCCCTCAGCCCTTCCCTCTCCAGAACAGCCCCACAGCCCAGCAGCACTGGGGGTCCCAGCTCTGAACCCCTCATCCACTGCTGCTTCCAGATGGTCTTAAAATGCCTCAGCCACGTTGTGCTGCCAGGTGGGATCTGCTTGGAAAGACCCTGCAGGAGCGCAGGAAGATGAGGAACCTCATCTCCCCGTCTTCTGGCTTTGGGGAGCTGGCACCCCATCACTGCCCGGGGACCTGAGGCAGGGCTGCAGGGTGAGGGGCTGGGAGAAGTCAGCACATGGGGTGGGTGGAAATGGATCGGGATTTGTTTCTTGAGTCCTGGAAATAAAAGAAAAAACAACAAAAAAACCAGGCCAGATGGCAGCTTTGGTTAAGGCTGAGGATGTGGGAGATGGGGACCAAGCATGAGGGACTGCCTGGGAGAAGCTGGGGCTGCAGGGAGCCTCTGGCTCTGGCTGGAAGCATCTCTGCTGGCTGCGGGTGAGCCCTGGGGGTGGCCGTGGGGACGAGGCAGGGCTGGCTCGGCTCCCCACCCTGGTGCCAAAACCTCTTTTGTGAAACGCAGGCTGCTCCAGGAGAGCAGGAGCTGGGGGAAGGCGGCGTGGGGCAGGGCTGGCTCTGTGGGGCTCGTACATCTCCAATGGGCAGTGCTGGGGAAGCGGCCGAGCCCCTCCGGGAGAAGCCACCATCAGGGCCATCCCATCCCCTGCCATCCCTCCCGGTGCCCGCTCCTTCCCCGCCATCCTGCCTCGGCAGCGGGCACCGGGAGCAGCTCAGGCATCCCTGAGGATGGAGGGGAAGCAGGAGGGAAAGCAAAGCAAGGCAGGGGGGCAGGGGAAGGGGCTACGGCCTTGGAGGAGGCAGGAGGGGGACAGCGGGACCCTCGAGCAGGGGCTGCCGTCCCCGGGGAGCAGGCAGGGCTCTGGCCGGGCTGCCCCCCTCCAGCTCCACACCGACTGCCCCCTCCCCAGCCCCTGGAAAGGCAAAGGGGGCTGAGGCAGATCGCCCCCACCCTGCCCCGTCCCCCCCGGCGAGGAGTTAAAAGCCGTGTCTTTCCGGGGATAACGATTCTATTATAAATAGCCCCATTAGCTACAACTAATGACAAAAATCCACCTCCTCTACTCCCCATAAGTTCTGTAAGTTATGGGCAATGCTACAGCCATTACTAAAAGCTGTTAACTTCATATCTGAATGAGGAAATATACACCACAGAACATTAAACCATTTATATTATATATATGTATATATATACTTTTTTTAAACTAATGACTTTAATGCCAAAACTTTGCTGAACCAAGAAAAATATGGGTTTAATGTTCTCTGCTCATTTTTTTTTCTTCTTTAAAAAAAATACAACCCAAAAAAAAGAAAGGGAAACTTATTAGTATGTAATGTTTGAGTCTATCCCATTTATACACAACATTGTAAACATATATAATCTATATTACATGTGCTTCATTTCTGCCTGGGTGTGTTTTTTTTTTTCTTTAAACCTTTTTTTTTTTATCACTAGAACACCACAAAAAACCAAAACAGAACCAAACCAAAAAACCAAACCAAAACAAATAAAAACAAAACAAAAACAAACTGAACGAAGAACACAAGTTACAGGTTATTTAACATCTCTCTGTCAAGGGTCCCTTCCCCAGTCTCCTGGGGGCAGAGTGGTCAACAACACAGTCCAAAGGAGGGCTCACGAGCCATCCGCGATGCAAAGCCAGCTCCAGGGAATGGGTGGATGGGGAATACTGGTTTTAAAAAAGGGGGCTTCACAACAAAGGGTTTGGTTTTGCCCGCTGCAGATGCTGAAGGAGGTCTCAACATGCGGGGTCTGGGAGCCGAGGCTCCCCACTGCTCCTGTATCCTCGAGTTCGTGTCTGGAGTCTCTGGTTTGGGTTTGTTTTTTTTTTCTTTAAATTTTAAAACGTCTTTTTTCTTTTTTTGTTGTTGCTGTCGTTCTTCTCCCCCTTGGTGTGATGAGCTGAGCCGAGTAGCTGGGTCCTGCCCTCCCGCTGGGTCCTTCATAAGTAGATGCGCCGAAGGTCTCCGGGAGACGTGATGGTGTTACACTGAGGACAGAGCTTCTTGGCACCCTGCAACCAGCAGACGAGATGAACAGTGTGAGACAGAATCACAGAATCACAGAATCTTCTACGTTGGAAGGGACCTTAAAGATCATCTTGTCCAACCGTCAACCTAACTTTGACAAAAATAGACACCCACACAACAAACAAAAAGCAACACCATCACTAAACCATATCTCCCAGCACTACATCAGAGAAGGGGGACAACCCGCATGACTCTGCCCTTGGCCTGGGGCATCTCAGGGGGAGCAGCACAGGAGCAGGGGCAGCAAGGCCACCCCCCTTCCCCTCCAGGTAGGGCCATGCCCTCCCAGGAGGAGGCACAAGCTGCCTTGCAAGCCCCTAGTCCCACTCCAGTCCCCGGCACAGAATCACAGAATGATATGGGGTTGGACGGGACCGCTGGAGATCATCTCGTCCAAACTCCCTGACAGAGCAGGTCCACCTAGAGCAGGTTGCACAGGATCACATCCAGGTGGGTTTTGAATGTCTCCAGAGATGGAGACTCCACCCCCTCTCTCTGGGCAGCCTGTTCCAATGCTCTGCCACCCTCAAAGTAAAGAAGTTCCTCCTCATGTTTAGATGGAACGAGGCAGCTGGGCAGGCAGCAGCCTACAGGAGGCTGAAACCCGGAGCCAAGACACAGAATCATCTAGGCTGGAAGAGGCCCTCGGGATCATCAAGTCCAACCATCTACCCTACTCTAAAGTTCTGCCCTACACCATATCCCCCAACACCACATCACCACGTCACCAAACCCAGCAGGAACGGGGAGAAGAGTCTCTGCAGATGGACTGGCCTGAGCTCCCCATCCCACCGCACTGTCCGTGCAGGCTGCCAGGCAGATCTGCTCCTCTCTGCTTCCCTTGCTCACCTGCACCCGCTCATCAGCCAGTACAGGGCACCCAGCAGGCAGAAAACCAAGTTTTCTGGGGGAAAACCAAACTGGTTTTCCCAGTTCTCAGCTGGGATGACGGAACTGGTTCATGGTGGGGCTGGACCATCCCTTTCAGGGCAGTGCACTGCAGGACTGTCTCGGCCATCCTGTGAAAGCCCCCAGAGCTGCTGGCATGAAGGAAACCCCTGTCCTGTCCCCTCCCCAGCTCACAAGAGATGCTGTGGAGACAAGTCTGTTCTGCAAGGTGAGCTGAAACCGGGAAACTGTGAACTGGGGCGAGGTAATGGGCGGCTGACATGAACACTACACGAAATAAAACAAGGGCTGATGTGCCATCTGTCACTGAGCCTGACAGCAAAAGGGTGTTAATAAGCCTCAGAATCGGGGTCAACCTAAGCCGGTCATCATTAGATTGGCAGATGTGACAGACAGTTGATGGGAAAAATGACAGAACGATGGCTCTGCTGCGAGGCAGCCTCCCGTCTGCAGCAGCAGCGCAGGAAATTGGGATGCCCTGGCTTCCAACACCGACCACAGCCTCAACGCCACCTCCTGCCGCACGGAACCGAGCACAGGCTCTGTCTGAGCACCCCAAGTTTTGCTCCCTGCTGTCAGACAGGCCCTTCCAGTGGCTAACACCCAGTGCTGGGCACGACAAGCAAGCTGATAGGGATGCAGTGTGCCATCTGAGAGCCTGCCACCTTGCACCAGGGCTTGGTGGCAGAACCGATGCCGCTGGGCTCAGTGATGCTGCTGCTCTCCCTTGGCAGGGCTTGTTCAGTACCCACAGCAGGGAGCGCGGCCGCTTGCAGGACGTGGACTGAGTAACCTTGACCTGCCACACTGCTTCGGTACCACTACCTACATTTGGGGACATCCCTGGCAGAAGGGCTGGTGCTGCTGCTTACAGAAGGCAAGCACCCTTAGAAGTGGTCGTCTCTGCTCTGTGACAACACTTACAGAGAGAGAGGACGGGATTTCTCCCCTGGAAGCTCCCCGGACTAAGGAGAATCTAGAAGAGAGAGTACCAGGTAGAGAAAATTTACATGGGTGCAAGTAACCCACAGGGATGTCACTCCAAAGAGGCCCAAGTCACGTTTGCTCTGCAGTCCCGAGTGTTACCAAAAAGCCCTCACAGACCAGCCTTGAACCAGCCCCTTCCTGCCCACAGTGCATGTTATTCCATGGCAGACATGGACTTTGTGTGCTGTTCCCTGAGCTTTGGACTTGTGAGCGAGCAACCAGGCTCCCATCTGACTCCCCTTGCTGCCTACAGCTGAGCTGCTGCCTTGATGCATGTGGGAGCCACGGACACCTACACCTGAGATCTAAATCAGCCACACATGAAGGCCTGTTGAACCAGAATTCAATGAAACATGTAACAGACACCCAAGACATCACGCTCAGGGTGGCTGACAGACTGGCAGTGGGACAGACCACTGGTGGCGTGGATGGTGCATCTAGTTCTGGTGCTGATGCCCATGGGCATGACCTTCTAGCCACTCGGGACTTACCTTATCCCCACTCTAACTACTCTGTCTGTTTAGATTTTCAGCTTTTTGGGGCAGGGACCATCTCACTGCACCTGTGCGACGCATGGGGCAGCCCCATCCACTGCTCTTCGCAGAGTGGACTTGGCCATGCTGGATTCTGGGAAGTGCAAGCACAAACCAAAACTAGAGGGAAAGGTTTAAAACCCTGATGAAATCAAAGACTGACTGCACCAGACTTTAACAGAGCCTGTTTACATAAAACACCTCTTTGCTTGTGCTCAAGACCAGAGCTTTGGATTTCCAGCACCAGAAAAGGGCAAGCTCTAACCCTGCATGTCCCAGTAAAATCTTCCTGAAGCAGCTACGCAGACAGGAGAGAAAAATCTAAATATCTGCCCCTTCTGCCACCTTTAAATCCATTGCTGTGTAGCAGCACCGCTAAGGAGGGGCTCACTAATCTGGATGCAAATGCCACAAAACAGCCTGTTTCAATCCAGTCCCCGCATCACCAGGCACTTCCCTGGTCCTCAGAGGTGCCTGTTGCATCTGGTTGGCCTCTTGGCATCGTCTTTGCAGCTGGAGGGTCCCAGGGGAAGTGGCAGGGGGGTGCGGAGGAATTAATTTGCAGCATGTTGTCAAAGGGGCAGCAGTTGGCAGCTGCCCATTCGAGCTTTCCTGTGTGCCCAGACAAGCAGAAGTAAGTGTGTATGGGGACTGTAAGGCATTCCAGATGTGACTACCACACACATCTGTGTTCCCACTCTGCTTTCTAAGACTGGCAGAGCTTATTGGCAAAGGGCAGCAACGCATCCAAGTAGCTGGAGCTTCTGCCTCTCTGGGCAATGCACCAGGGACAGGTACCTTCTGCAGGACCAGTTTCCTGACCCATCAAATGCCTGGGCCTGCCTTCAGCCTGGGGTGAAGGATGAAGGGAAGTGCTTGCTGCCACCTAAACCCATGCCCTCCTGCTCCTCAGTGCCCCCGTGCAAAGCTGGAAAGCACTTTAGCAGTCATTTTCCTTTAACTCTGCTGAGGTTGGGAAATGTTTGGCTGTCAGTGGGTGGGGAAGAGCACTAAAAAGCAAATCTCAGTTGCTGCCATCTCACTGGCTTGCATCTCATGCTCCGTTCTGGGATGTGGAGGTGGAGTGAGACAGCTGCAGGCAGGTGTGTATGACCCTTAGCAAGGGCAACCTCACTAACAGCTCAATGTGGGACACTTTGGAAGGCCAGATTCCTGGAAAGCCACCCTGCCCAGGTCTCTCCAAAGGCTGAGCAGGTGCTCACTATAAGCACAAGTCCTCCACATGCAGCCCACAGGATGGCAGAACAAGCCTGATCAAGCCAACTGCACCTTTGCTCCTCTCTCCCGTGGCAAAGCAAGGTCAGGTATGCAATTCCTTCACACCACAGGGAAAGGGGAGATGGGTGGATTTATAATGCCAGATCCTGGGATCTCTGTCCCGGAGGTCTGCTTTCTACACCGGATTCTGATGGCTTTAGGGGGATCTGCTCTCCCCACCTAAGGCTGAGAGCTATGCAGGGGCAGCCAGGGCCAAGTTTTTGACCAAACCAGAAGGCAGAACCCAACCACATGTAGCCTGACCCATTTTCTGCAAAAGCTACGTGACTGAAGGTTGATTTAGGGCAGTGGTGGATGTTGCTTCACCTGCAGCTCATCTTCAGCTCTGGGTACATGGGAGGGAACAATGGCATCCCGGAGCCCTTCAGCAGCCTGGCATGAACACTGCACGTGGAGCCGGGCACAGGTCTCTGGGTCTCCCTAGTACTTACGCTTGGTATTAAATAGTTCAAGCAAAAATAATGACTTTAGACCCTTGGGGAAGCCTTATTCTTTTTTCTTTTCTTTTTCTTTAAAATAAAACTGTCATCCTCTGCACACATAACGCACGTGTGCTAAATTCAGAACTAAGTCCCGATTTTTTTCTTTTGAGATTGAAATGGCTTAGAACCGTGTTCCTTACATCTGACTTTTTGGTGTAGGTGTACAACATTTATTGGCATGAGCATTTAAGCTCTCCTCTCTTGTAGAGAGGCACATAAGCTTGTACACACACACATGCTGGCACAGGCACAATGAAAAAGCATTTGCTCCCCCACCGCTCACCTGCCAGCTGGGGTTACTAAACTTTTCCCTTGAAATAAAAATGCTGCGGAATAATAAGTCCCACCTGTCGGCCATTTCTTTTTTCCTTTTTTTTTTTTTTTCCAGGTCCTTCTGCTCCTTTCATCATAGCTTCATGGAAAAGCCTTGATGTGTTATAGCTGCGTGTGCTAGAGTAAAGGCCACCTCAGCTTTTCCATTATAAACCCCAGTTTTGAGGGGTTTATAAAAGTCGGCTGCAAGAAGTTTGCTCCAGGGCTGTTGCAAAGCAAAGAAAAGGAGCTGGAACCAGGATGGAGTTTATTTTTTCTCCTCCTTTCTTAATTAAAATTTGGCAAGTGATTGATCCACAATACAGGCTAATCACTTGGGGTAGTAGTTTGAAAAATACATTAACGAGAGCTGAGATGTTGAGAAGTCGTTAGGGCTCACATGGTGCCAGGAAGGATTGGAGTATTTTGTCTTAAAGTTGCCTCTTAAAAAAAAAAATGGTG